TGGGAGTTGAAGTCCACTCATCTTAAAGTGGCCAAGTTTGGACAACACTGGGTTAGGGGAAGCCATTGGCACAACTTTAGGATTTGAGACTGAAGGCACAACATTTATAGAAGGAAGATGTAAGAGGGGGCTGCAGCAAGTGAGCTGTATGGGAAGTCTTGGTGGGAAGAGCATATTAATGGCATGCCTCAAACCCCTAACAGCAGTGCTAATCTTATGCTGAAGATTGATCTGTATCATTTTAGCTGTTTCCTTATCTAGTCTCAAATAGGTATATATTTGTATGAAACACAAGTTGGTACAATGACTTTGTTTTTCTTATTCAGATGCAACATACCTTACTGCTGACCTTACCCTGAAGGAGGAGAAGGAGGATGCATGAAAAATCATTTCAGTTTTCAAATGCTTGGGAAACTTATAGGGTCGAGAGTAAAATTTTAGTCTGCCTTCAATATTCTCAAACAGTTCTTTTCTGGAAGGCTGAACACTTTGAAACTACCCAAACAGTAATAAAAATGCAATATTCTTGAATACACAGCGCTGTTATTTACAAAAATGCATTTCAAAACTTAAATGATCTAGAGAGAATTTAACCTATGCTTTTTGCCTATGGCTGCTTGGCAATACTCTATCCTTCTCAGATTGCCAATCATAAATCCTTGACAAGAATTATTGTAAATATGCTTACAGTAGACCATTTTGTGATAAATGTAAGAGACTAAGAGATACGCAAACTACATGAATAGATGGAAGACGTATATACACCACAGACCAGTTTCGCTATTATTCCTGGAATCCTGGAAATAAACATGAAAGTGATGGGACACAGAAACAAAAAATATTAAAAGTATTCTTAGGACCATCATTAAACTTCAATTTCTTGCATTCCTTTTAGCAAGGAAGGGGAGGAATAGGAGTCCTCCAAATGGTGCTGTACTACAATGCCCAGCATTCCTCACCATTGGCCAAGTTGACTGAGACTTGTAGTTCAGGAAATATCTCAAGCTACTATTTCCCCATCCTTATTATAGACAGACTGGAGTGGACAATAGTGTTATACTGTCATAAAAACTCAAGCTACATCAGTATTTCCCAGTTGCTTCTCTGCAAAAATGGCAATCCAACAGTGCTGTCTTCAGTTCATGCTCCTAATACCCTCCCTGCTGCATTTCAAATCCTGTCGCCTATAATATTCACCTTTCAGGAAAGTGCAGGTCTCTAACCAGGTGCTTTCTCTTCTGTCTGAAAAATAATTGTTCCCAGCTGTATCCCTTTTATTCTCTCTCGGCTTCTTTCCTCTCTAATGACTACACCTGTGGCCCCTCCTTACCTAGCACACCATGCAGAGCAGCACATCTAATGGAAAGTGTAAACAAAGGTCAAGTTTTGTTTTGTTTTTTTAACGTGTGCAAAAGTCAACTTTTCTCTGGGGATATAAATAATTAACCAGAAGCAATTTGTCTCTTTCTTCCACAAATGAGAGGTAGGCTGAACATGGACATTTGCAGCAAGGGGTGTTTCTTCTTCATTAAATCAAAGACAAAATAAACAACATTCTCAAAGTCAGAATAAGATTGCTGTACAATAAAATTGCTGGCATCCTGTATAATCTTCCTTTGAGTTAAACTCTGTTCATTTTATAGGACTTACCTCTAAGCAAACTACACAGGGGATAACGATCCATAAGACAGCCGTCCTAATACTTACTAGGAAATTACTTTAAATACAATGGATCTTGTTTTACTTAGAATGTTTCAAGCAGGGCTCCTATATCTGAATTGCAAAAATAGAGATGGCAGTGAGAGTTAGAAGAGTTAGAGATAAGAAACTTTATCTCTTTGTTACCATCTACTGTGGCAGCACAGATATAGGAACCCTGATTTCAATTAAATGTTTTAAGATAGGGATGAAATCTAAATTTACTGAAGAATAAGCATCGTTCAACCTGGACTGTTTCTAAGTAAGCAGGCAGAGATACAGGCTATAATAAGGTGGTGTCCTTTGAAATGAACTGTAAGTTCTATGAGTTTAATGTTGAAGTAAAGGAGAGATCCACACTTAACTTGGTACACATGTTGTGTGAATCCAGCTACTGTAGTTAGTAGATGTGGAACGTGTCATTTTATGAGGATGAGGACTTTTTCTGCTCTTCCCACTATCCCTTTCATTCCCTGGAGTTAAAATTTTGGTTTTGGCTTCTGGTGGATGGGAGATGCAGCTTAGATCCCATATATAAATTTATATGATAGGTGACTATGGATACCAGATTCACCCTTTGTCAGTTGCTTCCCAATTCTCTTTCTGAGTATTCTTCCTCCCCGCCCCTTCATTTTCTCATATCTGTTGTTGGGGTTTCTTATAGAGGGATTCACAAAGATAAGATGCATTTATGATAATAATCAGGTAAATGCTTTTTTATCATTTTATCTCAACAACTATATTGGCTCAAATGCTGTCAAGAAAGTTCTACCCCTTCAGAATTTGCAGGATCTTGTTGCTTTATCAAAATTTGTATGCGGTGTGGACAGTATTGAGTCTATTGTACATTTATTTTGAAATACAGTATATAAAGTTCTTGCTTTCTTTTTACCTGTTTATTTTCTTACACACTCTTTCCCCCTCCATTTGGACTCTTTAATTGTATGACTTTTGTGTAGCAACATTAATTACCGTATTTTTCCAACAATAAGATGCCCCCATGTACAAGACACCCCCCACTTTTCTAGCCCAAAATTTAAAAATCAGTATTTTAA